ACCGTCGGCTAAATTTCAGTTAAACAAATAAAAAACAAAAACCATTCATGCCGCTGGGATCACTCAATCCCCCAGAACTGAGCCTCTACTTTACTCAATCCTCTTTGCTGAAGCCATTCACAATTCACTAGGTTCCAAGAGAAATAAAAAAACAGAAATGCAACGCCATCTGTTATTATCATGGGATGATGTTACAGTTTGTGGGATTTTTGTAAATAAAAAATAATCGATCGAAAGGAGCATTCATATTTATAGCAGGTTCTTGAGTTGAACCTAATTATCATGTCGAGGTAGTCATGAATTAATGATTCGTCCACTAAAAAAGAGGTAATTGCAGATAAAAAGAATTATTGAGAAAATCTTCAACACCTGCAGCACGAAATGTTCATTATAAGTAATTCACATTTAATTAACCCTTTCTCCAGCATGTGCTAATTGAATTGTTAATTTTTATCATAGGAATAGTCTTGAAGAGGTGATACTGCATTTTTGATCCAACAGTCGTGGGACCTGACGTGGAGTAAACGATGGAATCCCAAATAAATGGAGAACACACCCAAGAGGATTTCGTTAAGGATTTGAATTTTGGTGATGTTGATCCTGAGGATCCACTCACCAAAGCAGCACTCAGTGATTCTCTTGAAAATGAGTGGATGGATATCCTGGGGAATGGCGAATTGAGAAAAAAAACTCTGACTAAAGGGACGAACAACACACGTCCTCAGAGAAATGATATCTGTACCATTGATATCGTTGGAAGATTAGAGGATGGCACCGAAGTTGAATGCCTCCCAGATTTTGTGGTACAACTAGGAGATGTTGAATTGATTCAGGTTTTAATTAATCCCTTTTGATGATTTTCTAAATGTCATAATCCAATGATAATCATTACTTTCTGGAAAATAATTATGTGCAGGGACTAGACTTGGCTGTAGCATTAATGGACGTGGGAGAAGTAGCCCAGATTGAAATATCTCCAAGATTTGCCTACGGTGACTTGGGAAAAAAGCCTGACATTCCACCTGGAGCAACACTCCATTACAATATTACCCTGAAGGCTGTGGAGATGGAGCCTATCGTCGAGGAGATGGGTTTTACACAGCGAAGGGAATTCGGGTATATTAAATCTATCAATTATTTTTTAGTGACAATTTATTGTCGATCAGTGAAAAATGTGGATGTCATTTTAGGAATAAAAAACGTGAACGTGGTAATTGGTGGTTCGCCAGGAATGAGCCGACCTTGGCTATTCAGTGCTACAGAAGGGCTTTGGATTTTCTCCAATCCTCTGGAGATGATCATAAGAAAAAACCTGAAGACATCATGACGGATTCTCAACTGCAAATACTTCTGGAGGACAGGACGAAGGTCTACAATAATCTTGCAGCTGCTCAGATTAAGACAGAAGCTTATGGAGCTGCCCTTGAGAGTGTGAACAATGTCTTGAGAGCTGATCCCCAAAATATTAAGGCACTGTTCAGAAAAGGTACTGAAAATTAAAAAGAAATCGGAGTTGTCATCAAAGTATTATTTGAGTCTTGAAATCTGTAAAATGCAAGAATCGATCGATTCTCTGTGATTGTAAATTAATTATAGATTATTCAAGTTAATTCTGGATGATGAATGATGATGCTTACATTATACTTTGAATAATTACAGTCTTATCCATAAATTTTATTCTCAATTTCCAGGACGAATTCTCCATAAAAAAGGTGAACATGCTAACGCAATATCAGTGCTGCAGCATGCAATGAAGCTTGATCCGAATTCCAGTGAAATTATTCGCGAATTATCGATACTAAAAGAGAAGATTACGAAATATCTCAGTCATGAGAAGAATCTTTATCGTAAGATGATTGGAAATCCCAAGGATTCCACTCCTGCTTCCAAGAAAACAATTTCTCCATCAAAAACAACAGGAAAACTCACTTGGAGTCTCGTCGGTGGTACAATTGCAGCAATCGCCAGTGTTATTGTGTACAGATTGACATTTTAAACAGTCAAACATTAATCTTGACAGCATCATTACCAAAATGATAATATATTTGACAAAAAAAGGACAAAAATACATGTAAGGTATTCTGGGAAGTACTGATTAAATTTTGAAAAACAAGAATTTTCAACAATACAATTGTCATTTCAATTTTCAATAATTTCTCTTCCACTCACGTACGTAAACAAAATTTTATTGAATGATAAAATAAATTTCGTGATAGTAAAGGGCAAAGGTCAGAAGTTATAATTATATTAAATTAAATTAAAGTCTTCAGGGTAGTTGTGAGGAAAACGATTGAAGGAAGAGATCAAATTCGATAATTACTCGGAAAATGGGAAATTCCCTCATTTTTTTTATGATAGACGAGTAATTAGAATGAGACGAGTAAATAATTCGTTGGAACGGTTAAATGATAATGAGGGAATAAAGAGGGGGAGAGTATGGACTGATCGAGACTGCCACGACTAGTACCCATTGAGATCTTCAGTTGGGATGTGCTCTCAGGGTTTATGTTTGAGAGATAAAATAAATAAATCAGTGTGTTGCTTTAATGAGTGATTCAAGGTGTTGAATGGCGAGTTGAACTTGTGATTGGGCATTTTTATATTCATAATGATGCCTAGGAGCTTCATGCAGTGTCTTCACCTCTTGGTGACGATTTTTATCATCAATGAAAGTGTTCAAGCTGTTGACAGGTGATTCACATAATTATTATCTTTGAAATTATCTGCAATTACATCTGCAATTACATCTGCAATTATATCTGCAATTATATTAATCTCACCATCATCTCTAGGGGATACATCTTCACCGCGCCGAAGAAATTTCTCGCTGGTGAAACTGAAAGCGGTTGTTTATCACTTCACAATTTGGAACCACCGGCTCACGTGTTGCTGGAGCTATTGTCACCGGCATCAGCGAGTGATGAAGAAGTTTTGGCTTCCACAGGGACTCTTCTCGATTCAGGCAAGTTGAGATTCCTTTTCTCAGGGTCTAGTATTCACTCTTACGACACTGGGGCGGAAGAAGGCGATAGGAGAAGGATCTTTGACCTTAGGGAAGATAAATTATTTCTATGTAATCAATGGGAAATTACGGAATGGAGTCTAGCATTGAAATTGGTTGACTCGGGATAATTGAGATTTGCTTAATTTATATCAATTTGAAAATCGGTGGATGGAGTATTAACGAGCCTCTGGCTGAAATTTATGTCAATTGAATTGGCCTCTTCGATGATTACGTGATTATTCTACTGTTACAAATGCGTAATTTTTCAATGATTTATTGTTTCTTGTTTATAAAAATTTTTTACTCCACTGTATGAAGATTTTATTTATTAATATTGATCTAATGATGATGAGTAATTAATCGCAGGTTGGAGGGGGATGATTCTGAAGGAGAAGAATATTAATTAAAATTAATCTTGAGTTTTTGGAATTATTTTTCATCGGATCGTTATTGGATTGGCGTTTTTATACCCTTTCATGGACAAATTTGTAATCGTTTAGTATCGGGCCATCCCTACTTGTCACAGATCACACATTGAAATTGTCACTTCCTGTGATACTATGAAAAGGGTGAACGTCAAGTCAATGCGAATTTAATAGCTCGTTATGTACGTAGGGGACACGAATTCGGACTGCGTCATGGAAAAAAATTCAATCCTCGGAGATATATTTTTTTCTTTACAAAAATACCGTGGGAAATATTATAGGACAATTAATTATTAATTATATCAATTGATTGGTAGCTCAAGCTGAAATATATTCGGAATCCTATTGAATATTCGAAGGGATTCGAAGGGATTTTTTTTGTTGACATATTTCTGTTGTGAAATGATAAACTGGGATAAGAGCATTTTTTTCGATGCCCGTTTTTTCCCGATATCTCGGGACTGAAGGGAGATAAAGATATTTTCATTGATACCTTTTTTGTAGCTCTCATATTTTTCTATGAAAAGTGGTTCTACAAAAAAATCGATAGATTCTTTCAATTCTGAGATATCGGGGGAAAAGTGATCACGAAAAAATGTACTTGTTCTAGTTTACTGTTTCGTTACTGATTTTACGGTTTATTTATTTATTATTAGACTTGGGTACAAGCAAATTGAGGATTCACTGATTTAGGAAATGTCATTGCATTGGACTTATTGCATTTATGAATTTTTATTTGCAGGTGTCGAGACTTGTTTAGAATTGGCTGTACCAGATCGTGCGCAAATGACGTACACGATGGCGAGATTGAGACTGAAGATCAGATTCGATAAGTACCCGGAGTATCACATCAATACCGAAAAGGAAGTGTACATCGAGTATGATTCGGTTATAATGTTCGCTGAAACTGACAAGCCGGTGTACAAACCTGGACAGGACGTTAATATTCGTCTTCTAGCGCTGACGCACGATTTAAAACCGTGGAAACGACAAGTAAATTATAATCTACAACCACTCCTACATCTTTCAATATTCTTATTTCACTATTCCTGTATAATCTAATATTATCTCTATCTCCCCCGATTTGTCTCAACAAATTTGATTAATTAATTAATCATATTCCAATTGCAATTCAATTAATTCAGACAAGGGCATTTTTTCAACACCAGTTTTTAGGGAATTTCTTGCAATTGAAGGGAGATATCGAAATTTTTGATTATAGATTTTTCGTAGAGAAATTTGAGGGCTGTAAAAAAGGTGGTTATGAAAAAATCAATATTTTCCTTCAATCTCGAGATATTTGGGAAAAACAGCCTGAGAAAATGTTCAGTTCGTAGTTTATCACTTGATTACTGACGTTCATTTAATTTTCCTTCACAGGTCCCCAAAGTTTGGATCGAGAATCCCTCAGAAGTTCGAGTAGCGCAGTGGACAAATCTCAGTACAGATCGAGGAATAGTTCAACTACTATTTCCCTTGTCTCCCGAGCCGAGTCCAGGTATCTGGCGGATTAAAGTAGAAAAGAAGAAATCCCATCCCCAATTAATTCACACGTCAACCTTCGAAGTGCGAAAGTACGTGCTCCCACGTTTTCAAGTGACCATAAAAGGCCCGAGTTACATCCTAGCTGATGCTGACAATGCAACCTGGAGTATCTGCGCAAGATACAGTTACGGTGAACCAGTTCGTGGTACTTTGAGACTAAAATCTACCCCTCAAACTCCCAGTTGGCGACGAAAGCACAATTTTCCAGCGATCAATTACGAGACACGGATTGAATCACCAGATGGTTGCGCCGAGCCCTTCACAATCACATCATCAGGAATGGGTCTTCCTCACTGGGAAGTCGCACCAAATAGTATCGTCTTAACAGCAAATCTAACAGAGGATGGTACAGAAGTAGTTGAAACAGCGACTAGTCGTACAGTTGTTGTCCATCAAGCACTAAAACTCGAATTCCTACCCCATACACCGAAGTACTTTAAACTGGGACTACCCTACCACGGTAAATTGAGAGTTCTGAAGCAAGATGAGACTCCAGCTGCTGACGAAAAAATTCAACTTTGTCTGAGAGTTCGAGGTAAAGACGAATGGGTGAGAGTTGTCGTTGAGTGTCGAAATTTTACGTCATCACCACTCGGTTTTGTCAATTTTATCGTACCCCCTCAGCACAAAAATATCGTACTCCTGAGTTTTGTGGCAACTGGAATCGAGTACTCGACGAAATATTACTCTCCTGATAAACGCTGGAGAGTTTTTATGGATCAACCATCAGCTTATATTGACGTTGGCGCCTGGTATTCACCATCAGACAGTTATCTAGCGGTTGCACGTGGAGATCAGCCAATAGTTTGTGGTGAAAAATATCCCTTCAATGTCATGTACACGATGCCAAATGAGATGAACACATCCAGAAATGATTCCGTGGCTTTTCATTACTCCATCAACTCCAAGGGAGATTTACTGATATTCGGGCATGTGAGGCACAAGCCACATCGAGACTCTGTCTTAAATTATTCAGACTTTAAAAATGTTCTTGGTGCTGTTGAGACTACTACAACACCTTCACCAGCTTCCAGTAATCATCATCAATCACATCATCAATCCAACATCACCAGGAATGAGCCCACGACATATACTGTCCACCGATTTCCTCTCAGTGTAAAAGTAACTCCCAGTATGGCCCCAATTTCGGAATTACTTCTGTATTACGTGAGACCCGACGGAGAAACTGTCGCCACAACTTACACCATTGAAGTTGGTCACTGCTTTGAGAATCGAGTTAAAACCCACTGGCAAGAGGACACTAAATCCCCTGGGGAATTGGCGAGATATCACGTGGAAGCTGCTCCATGGTCTCTCTGTGGAATTTCCGTTGTCGATCAATCAACGAGTTATCTCTCGGATATAAAAAAAAGTCTTGTCGACGCTGATGCTGCGTTCGAGCAGGCCAAGAGGTTTCACTTGAATCGTGACACTCCAATTCTCTATCAAAGTGTTTGGAGTCACTGCAAAAAGACTAATCAACCTGAAACGAGCATCGAGGAGATCGATCCCCTTCCTTCACCAGCTGTGGAGGTACCTCCAGTTTGGGACTTGCGAGGTGCTCTTAAACAGCCCTGGAATCCTCAACTCCACAGAAATACTCGCCAAAAACGAAACGTTATTCACATCGGTGGAGTGAATTATGTCGATGCAATGCAGGCGTTCGATGATTTCGGAGTTATCGTCATGAGTGATTTAATCCTGGAGTCGCGTCCTTGTCCTCAGAATCAGTGGATCAGATCCAGGGAGAATATCGACTTCGAGATGATGCGAACGAGAATGGACGAGCCAGACAGAATGTGGGGTGTGCGAATGATGCCTCAAGCCTTTCCCCTTCAAAATTTTGCTGTTGTGGATTCATCAGCACCAGGTCCAGACCTCGGTTACGCTGATCAGCTTCCTGATCACATTCTAAAAGCACCGCGGTCATATTTCCCTGAAACCTGGCTGTGGGATCTCGTTGCAACGGGTAAAGAAGGTCGAGCTGTAATAAAACGTAATCTTCCACACACTATTACCAATTGGATAGGTCACACCATCTGCATTTCTTCGAATTATGGCCTGGGAATTGCCCAGCCAGTTCAAATAAACGCCATTCAGCCATTCTTCCTGGATTACAGCCTTCCTTACAGCGTTAAACGTGGTGAACTCCTTCGGATGAAGGTTTCTCTCTTCAATTACATGCAGCACAATTTACCAGTCAAGATTCAGTTGGTTAATGCTTCAGGCTTTGATCTCCAGATCTCAAACTCCACTGGGAATTATTGCGTACCAGCTAGACAAAGTGTAGTCCACGAATACGTCCTGATGCCTCGAATTATCGGTGAGATTAATGTCACTGTATCAGCATCAGTTGATCCAGACTACGAGAAACCCTGCGGTCCCAATACAGTTGTCTTCACTCAAGATGCAATTGTCAAACCTATTCTAGTTCTTCCAGAAGGCTTTCCCATTGAAACAACAAAATCAGCATTCGTCTGTCCCAAAGACTTCAGCGATGACTCGAGTATCTCCTGGAATCTTGATTTACCAGATAATTACGTACCAGACAGTGTGAGGGCATATGTCTCCCTCGTTGGAGATCTTCTGGGTCCCGCTCTAGAAAATCTTGATAACCTGGTGAGACTGCCCTTTGGCTGCGGCGAGCAGAATCTCATTCTCTTCGTACCAAATATTCAAGCAATCGCTTATCTGGATGCAACACGGAGAAGCTCGACAAGTCCAGAATTGAGGAGAAGAGCTATCAGAAATATGGAGAAGGGATACCAGAGGGAGTTGAACTATCGACATCCTGATGGTTCTTATTCTGCATTCGGACCTCACAGCTCTGAGAGCGGTGGATCAATGTGGCTGACAGCATTCGTTGTCAAATCATTTGCCCAGGCACGTAATTACATTCACATTGACGAGAGAGATTTGAAGTTATCAGTTAAATGGATTGTGAAGAAGCAGCTGGAGAACGGTTGCTTTCCTCTGATCGGTCGTGTCTTCCACAAGGACATGAAGGGAGGTCTTCAGGATGAGAACCAGTCGTTCCCAGCTGCACTGACGGCTTACGTTTTAGTCTCATTACTCGAGAGTGGAAAGAGTCTTCCACCCTCGATCATCAGCAATGCGTTGTTCTGCTTGGAGAAGGGAATGCCTGATGAAGCTGATGGCAATCCCTACACCGCAGCACTAGCTACTTATGCTCTTACACTGCTGGAGCATCCGAATGCCAATGCCAGTATGAAATCACTCCTGTCAAGATCCACTCGTCTTCACGATCTCATGTGGTGGGAGGACAAGGGCAAACCCTCGATGGGCCTCAGCATCGAGATGACGGCTTATGCTGTTTTGTCGTTGATTAAACTCGGTGGTGATGCCAATATGGCACTGGCACTCAAAGCTGTCAGGTGGATGTCCAAGCAAAGAAATGCAGAGGGCGGATTCACCTCCACTCAGGACACAGTTCTTGGTCTCGAGGCACTTGCTAAATACGCAGCAGCAATGTCCACTAATTACACGGATTTATCTGTACTTGTCACTGCTGGTGATGTTGCTAAAGTCGTCAGGGTGCATGAGGATAATCGTATGGTACTTGTTCAGGTGCGTTTACCTGTTCTTCCTACGTTGGTGGAGATATTTGCTGAGGGTGAAGGATGTGTTCTTGTTCAAACGAATTTGAAGTACAATGTGGCAAGAGCCACTGGATCACAGGCTTTTGATCTCGTCGTCAATACAGAACCTGTCGCCTCTGGGGATGAGTGCTCTATGCAAAAAATAAGTGTCTGTGTTAGATACAAAATGGCAGATGAAGAGAGCAATATGGCACTGTTGGAGATCGGAATGATCAGTGGATTTATTCCAGATAAAGGATCACTTCATGCACTTCTTGAGGAACCGGTGACGGGAGTTAAACGGTTTGAAGAGGCTAGGGATTCTGTTACTATTTATTTCGATAAATTGACGAGCGAAAGAACTTGTATTGCTTTTTTAGTTACTCGAGAGAATCTCGTGGAAAAGGCAGAGCCGGCGATTATCAAATTGTATGATTACTATCGGCAGGAGTTGACGTTTGTTAAGAGTTATACTTTTGCTAAAACCTGTGGTATTCGTGATGTGGATATTGAGGGTTTGGATTCACTTCCCAATGAACCGGAGCCAACACCGCTCTTCAATTTCGATGATCCCATCGACAAGGAAATGTCTGTTCAACGATCGGCGAAGAATCTTCCCCAGGACGCAACCCTAGTGCAAACAGGAGATGAAGCGAGACAAGTCTCTAATGAAACCGTTTATCCATCTCCTCTTTCTCCTCCAGGTGTAAAAAAATTGATGACAATGTTGCATGAGGTTTTGCAGAAGAATATCACACAATCTCTGAAGTCCTCGACGATCCAGAGAATTCCCATGACTTTTCCAACTGCAACGACAAAAAAATCGATAGAATCAGTCGATGAAGTGGATTTAGTGAGACCTGTTGATGCTGGAAGTGGTGTAGAACCTGATGAATCCACTGGGCCCTTCTTCTTTGATAATCCATCATTCGTTGTGATTGATCATGAATTAAATACACCGGATGGTATTGAGGGACCACCACCTGTCTACGTAAAACCCCCATTCAACTTCCAGTCGTATCAGGAAGAGAGGGAGCCCCAGGAGTTTCTCACCCCTCAAAACGAAACCGAGGACAATCGATCCGGCAATCTCAATGAGGATTTCAATTTACTTCCCAATCAATCGATAATCAGCAGCAGCTGCGCCCATTGTGGCGACAAACCGCCATCAGACATCAAAGACATCTACTGCAGATCATCAGCTGTTGTCAAAGTAGCTATCAGAAGACTCAGAAAGGCAAGACTGCTGTTGGATTTGCGCTCTGAGCCTCATCCCAAGCGTCTCAGATTCACCATTGAACTGAGGATGAATGAAAATTGCACATGTCCAGCTCTGGATAAACCTGGAAGTCTTGCATTGATATTTGCTACTGGAAATTCAACATCACATGCTGATAAATCAGATCAGCATCTGCTTGGACACATCGGGGATTATGTTAATAAACCTCTAGATGGTATGATATCGATTTACACTCTTCCAAATTCTGGATACTCATCAGCAGAAATCATCGAAGCACGAGAGTCATGTCCAAAATCTCTGCAAACATAAATTCAAACTTCTGATATATTCTAAAATACTCTCAATTATTACCAAAGACAATTTTCGAAATTATTATTTACCTTTATCACCACTGATATACGACATCATCATTATTATTATTATTATGACAATTATTGTCATTATTAATATTATTTCAACGATTTAACAAGTGTTGATACCCTGAATAATAATAATCGTACGTTTCCTTTTTATAAGTCTTTATTTTATCGATTTTTCCACAGTAACTGCTACGATGAACGTCTAATAACTAATCACTGCATCTCTCTCATCAATTTATCTTGTCATAATTTGTTTTATTATCGTTTTATCGCTACTGTTGACCGATGCAACAGCTAGCTAAATTTTATTACCGTAAAATTCTAGAAAGAAAAGATATATCAGTATTTTTATTTCCATCCTCTCAGAATACAATTGAATCAACACCAAATATCTATACGCTCTCCTTCCTTCATGAATTTATTTCATGTACGACGTGAAAAGCTCCAAGTCAATAACATCTACTGAAAGATGTATGAGAGATGATAAACCCTTGATTAAATTTCATAGCAGTTCCATTCTCGCCTTTCGTATTGTCAATTATCAATTTTTTATAGTATTAATTATATTTAATCGGCAAGAGTGACACGTGATAGTGAAAAATCACTATTTACTCTCGTTGAAATAATTTTTACTTCCTCTCTTGAGATTCTCTCACTGATACATGTGATTGCTCTCGTATTTTTAATTATTCTCTCATACATCCACTGATGGAACAACAATTGAACGACTTAAACAGATAAAAAATAATAAATCCTGTATAAAAATAAAGGAAGGTAATGTCTGGCAGTTTTAGAGCGGAATATTATTGCATTGAAGCGGAATGAGATTTTAAAATGAAGAAAAATATTCGAACATACTTGATGCTCCGACTGAGATTGTTCTCTCTATCCATTAAAAATGCAGCTATTGTTGATGAACGATTCCACACAATAAATAAATTAAATTTTCAGTAGATTTGCGGTGCTGAGCGATCATTGATGGGTCCACTGGTGCGCAATGAAGTGCCACGTCTTATCTGATCCATCAATGAACTACGTACTTGATGAGGATCAATAATAGGCACTCGATTAGCCATTATTCGTCTGACACTGGCTGATCTACTCGTAGTACTCGATCTCCCCTGTGAAATCTGTATCACTTGCGGTGTTTGCTGCATTTGACCCGAATGGGGCAGCATTTGGCTCTGCTGTGCTTGTTGCTGCTGTTGAGCTGCTAATTTAGCATTGAGAGTCTCGAGAAATCCAACAGGTGTTCTTGGACTCTGGTTTGCCTCTACGTTGATATGTTTTCGCGTTGATTTAGGACTGCTACTGGAATTGACACTTGTACTTGTATTTATTAATTTTGAACTGAGTACTGCCATGAAACCCTGGCCTACACCACCGGGTCCCTGATACTGAGCAGATGATGCTGATGATGTCGACTCCATGCTGGTGGTTGATACTCTTCTGGATGAACTCGAACGTTCGGTGAATGTCGAGTGGGTTATTTGGTTGACAGCTCCTTGGGGCTGTGTTTGCTGCTGGTTCGAGGCTTTTCGAAGGAATGAAGGACTCGCTGGGGTGTGACGTAATTCGGTTAGAGTCCGAACTGTCTCCGAAACTGATATCGATCGTTGAGGAGGTGGACTCGCTGCTGGTGAATTCCCTTCCAGAAGGAATGCAGGTGGGGGTGGAAGATTTTCAGTCTCATCAGATACAGTGGTCTCTGTACGCTGGCCAGCAGTGAGAACAGTAGCAGCTATTAATCCCCCACTTGCTCCAATCATTGTTGTACTTGCGTAATTACTGGCGATAATTGTTGACGTTCTACGTGCTGGTGGTGGTGGTCTCGTCTGCTGCATTGATCCACGTCGTGGTATTGTACATGAGCCACCAGGAACAGCTGTTGGTGGGGCAGCTGTTTGTTCGGATTCACTTGGAACACCTGGAAATGTTGGCAGTGTTGACTGACTTCCGTAGCCACTGCTTGACTCCAAACTTGATTCCGAGGTCGCACTACCCACATCTTTTTCAGGTGCCACTGCCTCAGTCTGAGAATCAAATCATTTCATTCAATCATTACAAATTATAATTATAATATATTCATTGGGAATTAAATTGAGCAATTGATAAGATAATTACGATGCATTGATTATAATACAATTATTAATTTAATTGTTAACGAGAAAATGTTTCTTGTACCTTTACACTCGTATTATTGCTCGACGTTTGTTTTCTAGATGTCGAAGTCGTGGCAGCAGGTGCAGGTATTTGCATTTCTTGAGCGCGATTAGCTGCCAAGCTAGCCAATTCATGCATATTAACGTACATGGGCTGCTGATGGTTTCCTAAGTCTTGAGATAATTAATTAGTCCATGATTAAATGATTTTTATGTTATAAATGAGGTATTATCCCACCTTTCATCAAATGTGCAGGCAGTGGTAGCTTTGGTTTTCCCCGATTAACAGCAGCTCCATCATTCTTGCCACCAGATACCGCAGGTCTCTCCAAGCTGGAGCATCTGCTTGGTATCGGTGGTCTCATATTTCCAGCGCTATTCTTACGCATCTGGACTCGCGCCAATTGAGGATTTGAGGATGGCGATGAGACTGGGGATGCTGGCTGGCTGTGACAGCATCCAGCGTCTGGAGCTTGGAATGTGTAAACACTCAGTGCAGGTCTCTGATGTCCTTTCTCATATGCTGATGAGATCGTGTGAGGTCTTTCGTTGACAGATGATGCTTGAGCATCTCTCTCTAGAACCGCCGTTTCCTGCAGATCAGGCCAAGTTGCATTTGTCATGGGCTTCGTTGGACAGTTGCTCTGATTACTGTGGGAAGATACATTCGATACCTGGGAATAAAAAAAAAGGAATTAAACTCAATATACGACTCTTACTGAAAAATTCTGGACCAAAATAAAATACATTTTGCATTTGCACAAGACGATTACAATATTTCTACGAGGAAAACATGCGATGTATGCAAAAGGTTAATTATTTCTCCCTCAAGTTAGGAAGAAAGGGACAAGGTACACATGTTTATTATTCTACAAAAATACTGAATTTTTGTTAATTATTCCGTGAATACATGAAATAGATAAGCAATAGGTGTTCTGTACCTCCACATCAATTATCTACGTTCTATAATTACCTGATGCTCAGAAATAGGTTGCCTATAAAGTGTATCCTGTGAAGTAAATCCAGAATCACGTGAACATCCACTTGACAAGTGTCTAAGTGTCGTTGTACCCGTACCTGCGATGCTGAAGGGTCTCGTACCAATTGGCTACAACCATTATACAACATCGACTACCAAAAAAACATTCATAACAAAAAAAAAAAGAGTAATAAAGAAAAACTCAAGAGCAGGCAAAGGCAAGGGCAATGCATAGAAATAAAAAAAAAATGAACTGCAGGATTGAAAACTACAACTGATGATTGAAAAACTTGATGCAGCTCCATTTATCTCGATAGCTTTTGAATTGCTTCGAGGATTACCTGAGACATTGATCTGTGCCACTGATGGTTGCACGAGCTTGGATGATTCTTGCATGAACCACTTGAGCTGCTGTTTAGTGAACTTATTGAACACATTGAACTTTTTCTTGAGCCAAGTGAGAGTGATGGACTGGAGGGTGGGGTTGATAATGCCCACTGTGTCATCTCTCGTCCCTTTAAATCAGTGATAACTTGTTCCGAGGCTGCTGGCAAATCGTGTGGCGATGCTGCATGCCTCTCCAACTGATCAGAAACCTCCTGAAGATGAGTCAGCTCCATCAGCATTGATATCTCCTCATCAAGAACTGGTCTGAGAAATTTAGCAAACTGACAAAAACGTCCACGCTCTTCCAAAAGTGCTGCACGCACTGCTTTACGTTCGGTCTCTTCTAGACTCAAACGTTTCTCTTGCACACTCGCTGCTGATGACTCGAGCAATCTATTCAATTCCGAATCATCGATACGATTACTCTGCACTTGCAGAGTCGATGTTTGATTGTGGCCGTGACTCTGCACAATACCTTTTCGGGCTTTTTTCTTTTGCAGTCTTAGTGTATCAGTTGAACGCTTTTTCAACTCGGATTTGGCTCTTTTGTACTCTTTAGTGTGCTCTTTATCGAGAGTTATTAGGGTTTTTTTCCAGTCTTCTAGTTTTTCTTGGAGGGGCATCACTAGTCGGTCCATAATTGCACTAAATAATAAAAATTTCAAATGATACTCGATTATTGGAGACTTCAAGTCAATTATTTCGATTTTTTAACGATCAAAGGAGAACACTGTGTCAATTGAAGGAATAAAAATTGAAGAAGTACAAGTAAAATGAAATTGAATTATCAAAATTGTTGCTGGGACAAATAATAAAATCCAAAAGAGTAATTTTATGACGAGATAGGTTCTATACCATGTAAAAGATTTCATCCTGGTTTCAACAGCTTTATGACGCAGACATATCCTTGTCAAGGCAGTTCCAATTTCTTTAGTAGCACCCCTGGAATTTGTTGCAGCATCAGCAATTTTTTGGAAGGCCTCAAGATAGGCTGACACCGCCAGAATAGCTGCTCTCAAACAAGCGTGAAGTTTTGTGGCTCTCGATATCAAATCCTCCCACAGTGGTGTACCATTCTTGAATAAAAAACAATTAACAGGATTGTTTGACAACAATAAAATACCAAAGAACAGCGTGGACAAATATCGATTAAAACTCGTTGCTCTTTGATACGATAATTAATCAAAATATTACCTTCATATCAGCAATAATCTGATTGAAAAGTCCACCCAGGGCGCTGCACTCCCTCTCCACATTAGCGTCCATCTTCCTGATAATAATTTTCCACCTGTCAAAATCTCGTTAATCCCCCAATCCAATCACCAGGCAACAACGATCTTTCCACCTTTCTGAATAAACTCAATCGACGCTCGAGTACATAGTAGAGATCTGGTTGAAAAAATCGAGGAAAGCCCGTATCACTCCGATATTTCATGCAGAAAATTCACACAGGAAATTCTTCTACAATAGCATTGAAAAGCATGACTGATTTTACGGTCTGTTTTGTTTTCGTCTGAATGTTAAACTGGATGAGACGCCTCTCATCAACACTGGCGCGTTCTTTTTCGTCTCTACAGAAAAAAAAAAAAAAATTCACCTCATATATTCCCAGAAACCAACTGATTTTGTCATCTATATTCTAGATATTCACCTGAATCTCAGCTAGACGAATAAATCCTGATGATGATCACATGGAGGTGATGCTTGAACACTTTGTTGATGGAAATTCTGTCAGGGAAGAAAAGCCTCAGATGAATTTAACGTCAGATGCAATCACAAATGACAGAGGTACTACAGCTCTGATGTTTGCAGCCAGAGAATACTCTCCAGTTTATCCCCACTCTTTTATTCTATAAATGAATCTATACGTGTGAATCTATATCCGCCATATTGGAAGCTGCTATTATTCTTTGGCAACAGGCAGCACCACCTCACCGATTCCGTTTTATCCCCACCATTTATTCTCCACTGTATATAATATATAAACTATTTCACTCGATCCTGTATGTACCTCCCACCATTTTTCACTTGAATTTCGCTGTTTGCGTGTCAATGTACTCGGTGCACATGCACCGATTTCAGTTTAACTTTTAAACGTTTAATTCAATCGATTAATCATAAATTTATTGTCATTACAGGATTCCATATTCCAGGGTGAAGAGGATTAAGAGATTATTATTTAAACTTTTTCATAATCTCGATGACGGATTCATTAAAAATTCATTATCAAGTTTGAGGCATTTATTTCATTACTTTATTTATTATTCCGATTATTCAAAGAACTTTAATAAATAATGAATCTAATGACATACATAAAAATAATTAATTGAAATGTAAAATATATTTGAAGTCCTTTTATCTGTTTTTTCAAAATTTCTGATTGTCTCATTTTTTTTGGAGATTCGATGTCATTTCATTTTATTATATTCCGGTTAATATCAGAGACTGTTTTGTCCTGGGGTGTTTAAAATCTAAATTACCCTAGGGTGATTATTAATAAAAGCCAGTCGATCCTCGAACGTTCAATTACTCACAGTTCAAGAGTATTTACTGGTCTACTTACATGTGCCCTGGTATTTTTCCTTCGATCTCATGTCCTTAATATGAGGGTACAGATTTGGTGAAAGGAGACTATTTAATTTGTTATGGCACAGTTTTTAAAATGAAGTTGAAACGGTTATTATTAGAGCGGGATAATTTATAGATACTCACGAATCCGTTGACGAGAAAATAATGGGTCACGTTCCAGGAGTTTATCTCTTCAGAGGACAATTTATTAAAACTTCATCACGTGATCGAATTATTCATGCTCATTTACCATGTGTTTGTTGATTAACAAATAATGATAAGAATGACGAAGAAATACAGAATTTATCCAAAACATTAAACTTTACTTCATGATTTCTACGATTATCTGGATTTCGATAAATCCTTTATTACAAAATATCATCTCACCTCTAAAGGTATCCAAATTGATTGTTAGATTTACAATAAATGAAAATATACATGATTGTTTATTCAATATTCAATCTCAGCTTCAGTATTGGGGGCAGTGCAGCTTCACTATTGATCTTGCAATGTCAACATGACCTGTAATGTTATTTTGTAATGATTATTTCCATTTGACACATTGAAAAATTATTTATTTACCTTTTTGAAGTTCAATGTAAAGTGCTAGCATTATTACGTGTATTGGTACATCACAGTCTGGCCCTTTCGATACCCAAACTTGTTTGAGAATTTCACTGGATTTATCTAGTTCTCCTCTAGTTGCATAAGCAACTGCTAAATTATATCGAAGAATTGCTTTTGCTGTCACCAGACTCGTGGGAAACCATTCTAAAACATTAATTTGACTCAGTGAATTCAAGGAAAATTATTCTGATAATTATCACAGAGAAAAGTTGAATGACGAGAAATTGATTCATTACTTTTGGTATTAACAATTGATTCTACAGTTTTATCTGGATCCAGTGCATCTGGGACAGGTATACATGTGTCTAACTCCTCGAGATTCTGTAACCTGAGATGATCAATAGCTTCATTAATTTTATCCATGAGAATTAAACACTCGGCTGCGTAGAGATTTCCCAGCATTCTGTAGGCACCAGGAATTTTTTCAATCGCCAGAAGTGATTTCGAGTGCTCCAATGCTGCGATGTAATCTCCCAGACATAACGACACGTAGGCAGAAGCTCCTAGAATTGCTATTTTCAGATTTGAAGATTCGACAGCTGTTACTTCAGATGTAACCCGATTGACTGAAGCCGCTGGTGGATTTCCTGATAATTATTTTAACGATTTTAATAAAACAATAGCCATTCGTAGTCATCGGAACATGAATAAAAATACCTAGAATATGACCTGGTGATGCCAGTGATGCAATTGAGGGCTGAAGACCAGTTGTCACCCCTGAAGAGGCTGAGGAATTGAGTTGGGATGGTATATTGATAGTTCGTGCTGAGGGTTCCTCTTCCCGCAGGGTAAACAATGCATTTTTTAAACATAACATTCCAAATTGTAAAGTTGGCTGTGGAATTGCGTACGAGAGATTCTCAGCGTGATACCTCGGGTCTTTATTCAGTGCTGATGCTAGAATTATTTTTCTGTGTACCCCACAACCGACGACTTTCTGGACCATATCCTCACGTCTCTTGGGAATATCAAAATCTATTTCGTTTGAGGGTTTATGGCAGTAGATGCAGCACTCGGCTAATTTTAACCACAAGGTTGGACTGTTGTGGAGCCTCTGTGCAGCTTCGGTGAAACAATCAAAAGCTTTTGTTGCCTGTCCCGCTTGAAGCAACGATACACCCAGACCGAACATCAATTCGTAATGTCGATCACCTCCTAAGGTGAATAAGGCTTGAGAGGATATTGGATCGGCATCTCTCACTCGAACACTTTCCATTGCTTTCTTGTTTTCCTCGAGAGCCTTTTGAAAATAAAATGCCGCTAAATTTGGCTTTCCGTTCGCGTAATTTATGCATGCCACGTTGTTATAATACAGAACAGCTGCTGATTCTCCGCAGATTCTGTCGATTTCGGGACATAATACAGTGAATAATTATTTATTACGTGCAATTGCTTTTGCTTTTTGCTTTTCCCTCGCAATTTTGTTCTATCGTTTAGAATAATTTTGAATAAAGGCGATTGCTTACTTATATTCTAAATTATCCGACGCCGAATTCAGAAGCTTCAGTGACTTCTTGAAATTTCCTCTCATGTACTCCAGATGAGCTTTAAGGAACATTGTTGAAATATTCTGTAAAAAAAAACAAAAAAACTGCAGAAAAAGTAAATATTCTGATAAACTAATGGTCGATCTCTCATTTATTAATCTCAGAGAAAATAATAAATTGTTTAGAGACCGAAGAATGACGAAAACAAATTTGATTGCTATTTTTTAAAAATTTACCACAGGTGTTCCCAATGAGACAAGGAGCTTCCACTCCTTTCTACATAATTTCGGTTGTTGAAGCAAGAGATATACCCTGGCTTTATATTTTAATAATTTTATCCTGAATAGATCATTCGTTGAATCAATACTGTCTTTCTTTCTCTCCTTCAGTTCTTTAATCACAATATTCTTCGATGGCCCGTCCTTCTCCCCAGATGGTGTCGAAGGTGATGAAGTCAATTTCGACGAGTCTGTACTGCAGATGAATTGACTTTCGACGTAATTTATGAGAGAAAGAGCAGCGTCTAAACGATTTGTGACAATGTGAAGTTCAATCAGAAGTAAACAAACATTCCACGCCAAATTTTCTTCTGAAAAAGAGAATACGTCATCCAAATGAGTGATTCAATGTAGCAATTATAGAAATCATCAAATACCAATGATTTTTTATCAGTTTGTCGGAAAAATTTGAGTGCAGTTTTTACTGGAAGAGAGTTACCCATGGGCTCAACAAATGTGAACAATCTGGTGAGTATTTGCAGTGATAATTCGTCCTGTCTGGTGTGATAGAGTAAAACAGCTTGATTAAATCTCATTACACATTTTTCAACATCATCCGGACTGTCGGAAGGTGAATCAACAGTTGTTGGTGCTCCGCAAATAGCATTTAAACTCTTTCCAGCTAGTTCTGTTTTCTTCAAGTCATTTTTGTAATACTCCACAATGACTTTATTATGCATTACTTTTAAATCCTTCGGCCTGAGTGTTTCCAATTTATTTAGGTACGTCAAACAAGAGCCGTAGGATCTTTTCTGGAATTCTGCAAGTGCACTCTGAGCTAAATCACGTTCTTGCTCAGTTATAACAACTGCTCCAGCTTCTTTGGTTGATGATTCCATTGGTTGTGTCATTCTGAAATTTTTATTGTTTTTTTTTAATTTAAATTCTCTGTTGAAAAAAAAGAAATGCTGAAAATCTCACTTTCATCTGATTTGGAATTCTCAATAGTTGAGAACAAAGAGGATTCTTCTTCTTCTGAGATTTTTTTGGCTCTGACAGTCTGTCTTGTGGCCGTTGCCAACGAAGAGGGAAGAGGATTGACTGAAGTAGAGGCTCAGTCTGGGGGCTTGAGTGACCCCACCACCGTCGTAGTACCTCACCCCAAGAGAGGGGGGCGCCACACCCAATGCTGGGGAGGGGGTGCCTCACCCCCCCCAGCTCGGTAACTGCCTCAGTACCTCAGTAGTACCCGCGCTGTCAGAGGGACTAGTCGACGGAGCGAATTCTATTTTCTGCGTTACGAAATTGGTATTCACTGAAATAGAAAAATTCGAAATTTTTGAAAAAGTATTAGGGGAGCATGAAATTCAGGGGGTAGTCACGGAAATTTGAAAATTCAAAATTTTTTAAGAAGTTTCAGGGAAGCATGAGAATTGAGGGGGTAGTCACTGGAATTTGAAAATTCAAAATTTTTTTAAAAGTATCAGGGGAACATGAAAATCGAGGAGGTATTCACGGAAATTTGAAAATTCAAAATTTTTGAAAAAGTATCAGGGGAGCATGACAATTAAGGAGGTATTCACAGAAATTTAAAAACTCAAAAATTTTTGAAAAAGTATCAGGGGAGCATGACAATTGAGGAGGTATTCAC